TAAACAAAAACAAGAATTAGAAAGAAAATGGGAAGAAAACCCAGAGGGGGTGTGTATATATATGCTTGTACATGTATGTGTAGTGTGACCTAAGTGTAAGTAGAAGTAGCAAGACTTACCTGTAATCTTGCATATTTATGAGACAGACAAAAGACACCAGCAATCCTACCATCATGTTAAACGATTACAGGCTTTCGTTTTACACTCACTTGGCAGGACGGTAGTACCTCCCTGGGCGGTTGCTGTCTACCAACCTACTACCTACAATATATATATATATATATATATATATATATATATACGTATATATATATATATATATATATATATATATATATATATATATATATATATATATATATACATGTATATATATACATGTAATAATATATATATATATATATATATATATATATATATTATTTATTTATTTATTTATGTAGTGATAGGTTTGAAAGAAATTAGATCATTTAATATTTTAGGGTGAAGAAGTGAATCCGAAGGCATTTCCTCTGGCAGAAGCGACATTGACCCAGAAGTTACTGAATTTGGTCCACCAAGCAGCCAACTACCAACAGCTAAAGAGAGGAGCAAATGAAGCTACCAAGGCAAGTACACCACATTCTTGTTATTATTAACCCTTTGAGGGTTTCGGACGTACTAGTATGGCTTACGACCCAGGGTTTTTGACATACTAGTATGCCTAAATTCTAGCGCCCTCAAATCTAGTGGGAGAAAGCTGGTAGGCCTTCATATGAAAGAATGGGTCTATGTGGTCAGTGTGCACAGTCTAAAAAAAATCCTGCAGCACACAGTGCATAATGAGAAAAAAAAACTTTGACCATTTTTTTGGAATAAAACAGCGTCTTTGCACTGTATTTTCGTATGGTATTTATTGTTGTATTCTAGTTTTCTTGGTCTTATTTTATAGAATGGAAGACATATTACAGAAATTGAGATGATTTTGACTGGTTTTACAATGAAAGATACCTTGAAATTGAGCTCAAAGTAGCAGAAATGTTCGATTTTTACCAAATTTCAAAAGTAAACAAATTGTGCCAAGCGTGCAATACACGTCAACTGGTGAGTCTAATATTCTTTCACAAGTGCACCAATAATATTTATACCATATTTTACACTAATGCAGTAGTCTGCATAACAGTAAATCTTACAATTTTTGTGAGAATAAAAATTCAAAGTGGAAAGCAAAAGAATATAAGAGGGGCCTTGAGACGTGACTGATGACCAGAGGAAATGTCATTTTAGTGCCAGGAATGTCTTTCTTGTTTATTCTGGACCCTATTCGGAAATTGGCATCTTATGAAATTTTTGTGAAATTGGCAAAATTGCTAAATTCTGACCACTGTACTGGATAGTTGAATTTCATAAATGGGTGGTTTCTTGCACCCATTCGATAGAAAAAATGGAGTTCTAGCGAAATATTCATGTTTTTTGTCGACTAGTACAGAGGAATTGGCCGAAAATGGGGCTCAAAGTGGGCAAAATTGCCGATGCGTAAACATCGCCGAGACCGCTAACTTTGCGAGAGCATAATGCCGTAAGTTTTCCATCAATTTCAAACTTTTGGTGTCCTTATGATCGGGAAAAGATTCTCTATCTTTTCGTAAGAGAAAATAATTTTTTTTTTTTTTTAAATTTGGCCGACCCTGAGAACGAGTTTCGGAGAGGGTCTGTCGACCCTCAAAGGGTTAAATATGAATAGCATGTATTATGCAGAGTTAAGCTTTGCCTAATGTAAGAGTTGAAATACTATTTTGCTTGGCACCTAGGTACTCAATGAAAAGAAAACAAAACATTATAAACATCATTTCACTATGGACTTTAGAGATCATTGTTTCTCCTTAATACCTGGAAACAACAACACATTGTGGAATTTCAGTGGAATTTATCTAGGGTTTTAAAATTATAGTAATAATCATAATAGGGTTTTAAAAGATAAGGTAGAATTGAAAGTAGCATTGAAATGTTTGTTTTATTCTATTATAATTTGCTTCCAGGATCAGCAGAAGTAAGTAACTCAGGTTTATTTACATATTATATATATATAATGTGTAATAATATAATATATTTACACACTGTGTATTATATTAAATGAATTACACACACACACACAGTAGGGGCCGCACTTGTATAAGAAGTTAGGTTCCAGGATACCGGCAGAAAGCGAACATCGCCGGAAAGCAGAACACCATTTTTTCCACATGTAAATGCCAGGTAAGTTTACACCAACATAAGTTAGTAATGGAATTAGGCATTAAAAACAATAAAATGCACACACAGTACACATTACTTACCTTAAAATATTTGTATTCTTAGTGTAGGGTGAGAGGTGAGTAAACGAGGTACAATGAATAAATGAGAGAGGAGAGAGATGCAGAGTATGTAAACAACCAACAGCCCAGGGAGGTACTACCAACCTGCCAGGTGAGTGTAAAATGAAAGCCTGTAATTATTTTAAATGATGGTAGGATTGCTGGTGTCGTTTTTCTGTCTTATAAACGTGCAAGATTTCAGGTACATCTTGCTACTTTTCCTTACACTTAGGTTACACTACACATGTGCACGTACGTACGTGTGTGTGTGTGTGTGTTTTAGATAGGAATGAATGGAGGCAAATGGTTTTTGGGACCTGATGAGCTATTGGAGTGTGATCAAAGTAACATTTATGAATGGATTCAGGGAAACTGGTTAACTGGACTTGCATCCTGGAGGTGGGAAGTACAGTGCCTTCACTCTAAAGAAAGGATGGAGAGATGTTGAAGTAAATGAATTGTATTATTGGCATGCCTCTGGCTAGACAGTGATGGAATGATTGATGATGAAAGTGTTTCTACTATTTTGGGTCACTCAGTGGGAAATGACCACTGTGTTTCCCACTGAGTTAGGGTGACTGAAAAAGATGAAACACTTTCACCATCACTATTTTGTCAGAGGTGTGCATACTACATTTCAAAACTGAAAATATCTCCAGCTCCCCCTCCAGAGTGAAGAAACTGTGCTTTCCACCTCCAGGACTGGTTTTCCCTGAATCCCTTAACAAAATGTTACCTTGCTTGCACTCAAACACCTTGTTACACACCAGTTGGATGTTTAAGCCCTTCATATACAAAACCATTTTTACCCCCTCTAACTTATCCTAGGGAGACCATTACCACCCCCCCCCCCTTCCCTCCACTACAGATTTATGCACCCTCCAAATTATTCTGTTTTTTCCATATTCTCTAAATGTCCAGACCACTTCAACAATCCCTCTTTAGCCCTCGGGATAATACGTTTAGTAACCTCACACCATCGCCTAATCTCCAAGCTATGAATCCTCTGCATAATATTTACACCACACATTGCCCTCAAATATGACATTTCTATTGTCTCCATCCTTTGCTGTAACATTCACAACTATACTTCTTTCTTCATTCTGTAATCAGATTTACAACAGAAAGAATATAGACTTGTTTTAATCAGAAATGAGGCTGCATGTAAGATTTTACAGTTCTTTAACCCTTTCAGGGTCCAAGGCCCAAATCTGGAGTCACGCACCAGTGTCCAAGAATTTTCAAAAAAAAAATTTGTTATTTTTTCTTATGAAATCGTAGAGAATCTTTTTGTGAAGGTAATAAAACAAAAAGTACGAAATTTGGTGGAAAATTGACGAAATTATGCTCTCGCGAATTTTGATGTGTCAGCGATATTTACGAATCGGCGATTTTGCCGACTTTGACTCCCATTTTAGGCCAATTACATTATTCCAATCAACCAAATTCTTAGCTATTTCACTAGTATTACTTCTATTCTATCGATTGAGCACAAGAAATCGCCAAGTCAACTGTTTCAACTACAAAATAAAGTGATCGGAAATTGTTAATTTGGCCAATTTAACACAAAGTTCAAAATATTCCAATTTCAAAATAGGGTCCAGAATGAACAATGTAGGCATTCCTGGCACTAAACTAACATTTCCTCTGTTCATTAGTTATGTTTTGAGGCTTTACAAATAAATTCCATTTTGATTTTTTATTCACATAATGAATTTTTATTCACACCAAAAAATAGAAGATTTACTGTTATACAATACTGTAATAATTGTATAAATATCATCACCATATTTGTGAATGTATATTAGACCCACCAGCTGACGTGTATTAGACGTATGAGGTCGTTTGTTTACTCTTGAATATCGCAAAAATTTAACATTTCTGCTACTTTGAGCTCAGTTTCAAGCCATTTCCAGTGCTAAAACCAATCAAAATCATCTCTATTTCTGTAATATGTCTTCCATTCTATCAAATGAGACCAAGAAATCGCAAATACAACTATAAAAAACATACGAAAAAACACTGCAAAGTTGCTGTTTTAATCGAAAAATCATGATTTCATTTTTTTCTCTCATTATACACAGTGTGCTGCAGGATCTGTTTTATGTGGTGCACACATACCACATAGATGTATTCTCTCATATCTAGGCCCAAATGTACCACTCACAGTTTATCAGAGTGAGCTGAGCTCATGGCGTAGATCTACGGTTTGGACCCTGAACGTAAAGCCGTAGATCTACGGGACGGACCCTGAAAGGGTTAATATGGCACTCTACTTTTAATATAATTTTGAGAATAAGCTTTATGGTTACATCTTGGATGATTTTCTTAGTAGTACAAATAATGTCTCAATTTCTGTTGAAATCCCAAGAATTTTATCTCATCATAATTCCAGATTTGCAACCAAGAAAATTTAATTATTTTATGATCATAACTATAGGAGGAGGCAGTTAGGGTAGGATATAAACAGCTATTGGAGGATAGATGGGCTAATGAGAGCATAGGCAATGGGGTCGAAGAGGTATGGGGTAGGTTTAAAAATGTAATGTTAGAGTGTTCAGCAGAAGTTTGTGGTTACAGGAAAGTGGGTGCGGGAGGGAAGAGGAGCGATTGGTGGAATGATGATGTAAAGAGAGTAGTAAGGGAGAAAAAGTTAGCATATGAGAAGTTTTTGCAAAGTAGAAGTGATGCAAGGAGGGAAGAGTATATGGAGAAAGAGAGAGAGGTTAAGAGAGTGGTGAAGCAATGTAAAAAGATAGCAAATGAGAGTGGGTGAGATGTTATCAACAAATTTTGTTGAAAATAAGAAAAAGTTTTGGAGTGAGATTAACAAGTTAAGGAAGCCTAGAAAACAAATGGATTTGTCAGTTAAAAATCGGAGAGGAGAGTTATTAAATGGAGAGTTAGAGGTATTGGGAAGATGGAGGGAATATTTTGAGGAATTGTTAAATGTTGATGAAGATAGGGAAGCTGTGATTTCGTGTATAGGGCAAGGAGGAATAACATCTTGTAGGAGTGAGGAAGAGCCAGTTGTGAGTGTGGGGGAAGTTCGTGAGGCAGTAGGTAAAATGAAAGGGGGTAAGGCAGCCGGGATTGATGGGATAAAGATAGAAATGTTAAAAGCAGGCGGGGATATAGTTTTGGAGTGGTTGGTGCAATTATTTAATAAATGTATGGAAGAGGGTAAGGTACCTAGGGATTGGCAGAGAGCATGCATAGTTCCTTTGTATAAAGGCAAAGGGGACAAAAGAGAGTGCAAAAATTATAGGGGGATAAGTCTGTTGAGTGTACCTGGTAAAGTGTATGGTAGAGTTATTATTGAAAGAATTAAGAGTAAGACAGAGAATAGGATAGCAGATGAACAAGGAGGCTTTAGGAAAGGTAGGGGGTGTGTGGACCAGGTGTTTACAGTGAAACATGTAAGTGAACAGTATTTAGATAAGGCTAAAGAGGTCTTTGTGGCATTTATGGATTTGGAAAAGGCGTATGACAGGGTAGATAGGGGGGCAATGTGGCAGATGTTGCAGGTGTATGGTATAGGAGGTAGGTTACTGAAAGCAGTGAAGAGTTTTTACGAGGATAGTGAGGCTCAAGTTAGAGTATGTAGGAAAGAGGGAAATTATTTCCCAGTAAAAGTAGGCCTTAGACAAGGATGTGTGATGTCACCGTGGTTGTTTAATATATTTATAGATGGGGTTGTAAGAGAAGTAAATGCGAGGGTCTTGGCAAAAGGTGTGGAGTTAAAAGATAAAGAATCACACATAAAGTGGGAGTTGTCACAGTTGCTCTTTGCTGATGACACTGTGCTCTTGGGAGATTCTGAAGAGAAGTTGCAGAGATTGGTGGATGAATTTGGTAGGGTATGCAAAAGTAGAAAATTAAAAGTGAATACAGGAAAGAGTAAGGTTATGAGGATAACAAAAAGATTAGGTGATGAAAGATTGAATATCAGATTGGAAGGAGAGAGTATGGAGGAGGTGAATGTATTCAGATATTTGGGAGTTGACGTGTCAGCGGATGGGTCTATGAAAGATGAGGTGAATCATAGAATTGATGAGGGGAAAAGGGTGAGTGGTGCACTTAGGAGTCTGTGGAGACAAAGAACTTTGTCCTTGGAGGCAAAGAGGGGAATGTATGAGAGTATAGTTTTACCAACGCTCTTATATGGGTGTGAAGCATGGGTGATGAATGTTGCAGCGAGGAGAAGGCTGGAGGCAGTGGAGATGTCATGTCTGAGGGCAATGTGTGGTGTGAATATAATGCAGAGAATTCGTAGTTTGGAAGTTAGGAGGAGGTGGGGGATTACCAAAACTGTTGTCCAGAGAACTGAGGAAGGGTTGTTGAGGTGGTTCGGACATTTAGAGAGAATGGAGCGAAACAGAATGACTTCAAGAGTGTATCAGTCTGTAGTGGAAGGAAGGCGGGGTAGGGGTCGGCCTAGGAAAGGTTGGAGGGAGGGGGTAAAGGAGGTTTTGTGTGCAAGGGGCTTGGACTTCCAGCAGGCATGCATGAGCGTGTTTGATAGGAGTGAATGGAGACAAATGGTTTTTAATACTTGACATGCTGTTGGAGTGTGAGCAAAGTAACCTTTATGAAGGGGTTCAGGGAAACCGGCAGGCCGGACTTGAGTCCTGGAGATGGGAAGTACAGTGCCTGCACTCTGAAGGAGGGGTGTTAATGTTGCAGTTTAAAAATTGTAGTGTAAAGACACCCTTCTGGCAAGACAGTGATGGAGTGAATGATGGTGAAAGTTTTTCTTTTTCGGGCCACCCTGCCTTGGTGGGAATTGGCCAGTGTGATGATAATAATAATAATAACTAAGAACTAAAATCATAAGGGTCAAGAAAATTTCATTGATAATTGAACAGGTGTACCTTAAACTTCCACTCAGAAAGATCTTTAAATGTTTTGGCTAGAAAAATTAATGAAATCAACATGTAGTGTTTGATTAACTGTATTATATTACCTTTAGTTAATTTTCTTTCAGGCTCTTAACCGAGGAATTGCAGAGATGATCGTATTGGCAGCAGATGCAGAGCCCCTTGAAATTTTGCTCCACTTACCATTATTGTGTGAAGACAAGAATGTTCCCTACGTTTTTGTAAGGTCTAAAACTGCCTTGGGCCGTGCCTGTGGTGTGTCACGGGCCGTCATGGCGTGTGCTATATTATCTAACGAGGGTTCTCAACTTAAACCTCAAATCACAATTATGCATCAAGAAATAGAAAAGCTCCTTGTGTAGAAGCAAAATAAGTAAATATATAGTTTAAGTTCCCTGAATAATCTTCCAGTGTATTAGGACCAACCATCATTTGAATAAATTTAAGTAAAATTTTATCCATTTATTAAAATGTTGAATATTATTACTATATTCACAGGGGAAAAAGCCCTGTGCTGTATGACCCTTGCAGGTATAGTGCTTAGTTCAGTTATGAGGAAAACTAAACTGATGAGAGTTATGCAGCACTAGGAATAGGAGACTATCAGGTTTGATTCAAAGAAAGTAGCTCTAGTTCCTTGGATCAAGCACCCTTCATCCAGGCACTTCTCCCTTAAAGGGTAAATAGAGTATCTGAATGTTATTACATCATACTATAGTGCCATTTTTTTTATTATTTTAAAAATTTATAAACCTTTTGATGAGCTTAATTATATGTTGGACTTTGCAAATTCATGTTTTATCATAATGTAATTTTGTTAATAAACTATAAGAAAGAGACTTATTTTAAGACCCAAAATGTGTTAACAGAAGATGCAAGGTAAAGCAGTGCTGTATGGCCTGTAATTGGTATAGCACTTCCCTCCCCTTCCCCCCAAAAAGGGGGGTGAACATTCATCATTCCTTCACTTGCCAAAGTGTGCTGACATCACAATTGGTTAATCTCACCTTCCCTGACCACCATTCATAACTCCAGAGTGCAGGTACTGTTTTTTCCACCAGGACTAGTCTGTCTAACCAGTTTTCCCTGAATGTCTTCATGTTACCTTGTTCACACTATGAAAGAATGTCCTCTAAAAACTGTTTCCATTCACTCACAACATGCACAAGTCTGTTGGATACTCAACCTCTAAAACTCAAAAGCTTCCTTTACTCTCTTGAACTGTTTGTTGGATGACCCCTACCCCTCCTATCTTCCACCCCAGACACTCTTACTATTCCTATTTTCCAACACCTACATGCCAAAACCACCTCAACCCTTCCTGAGCTCTGAATTATACCCTTGACCACATATTGCTTTATTTCTATGCTCCCAAATCTCTGCATAATATTCACAACATACTGCTGTCAAACACATTTACCACGTCCATCCTCGTTACGTTTAAAACCCATACCTCTCGTCCCATATTAGAGTAGACCACTGTGCTCTGGTATATTTACTTTTTAGCCTTCATAGATAAACTTCCACAGATACGTGACCACCTGACTACCCCCCCCATCTATTTTAAGGTCTGCCTTGTCTTTCTTAGACCCATCTGATATTCAATGTATCATTGCCTAGACTGTTACCCTTATGGCCTTGCCATTTTCTATATTAAATTATCTACTTGTCATTAGAATTTCGGCAAAGAGCAACTATAACAACTCCCATTTTGTATGAGATTCAACACCTTTTCTCTTGCTGATGGACCCTCCTTTAACCCAGACTCTCACTGACTTTGTGACCAACTGATTTACTGCACAAACTGATGACGACGCCTCTAGCACTCCTCACAACCCTTTGTCTCAATATCTTGTACCCTCTACCCCTACACTATCCACTGCCCTGCTGCACTCCATGACCCAATAATACCTCTCCCTCTTGCCCAATACCCCTGCACCCTTTCCTGCCCTGCTGTGCTGTATGACTTGTAGGTTTAGCGCTTCTTATTTTACTTTAATAAACTACACCTTTCCCCAACACTACCTTTCACTTCATATGCAGCCTAATTTATAAATGTTTAATAAAACACTACGTACATATATCCTTATTTAAATCTTACTGGGAAATAACCCCCCTCCTACATACCCTAACCTGAGCCTCGCTGCATAAGACTTAATCTGCTCTTAGTAACCTACCACCTGCTTTATACATTTGGAACATGCCATATTGGCCCCATCCATGCTATCATGCACCTTTCCTAAATCCATAAATTTAACAGCTCTTTATCTTATCTATATATTCACACATTAATATGCTTCAGTGTTAACCCTTGGTTCACACATCCCCCTACTCTTCTGAATCTCGGGAAGGTTCCTTGATGTTGGTGAGGGGCTCTTGATTTAGGGAAGTAGATCTGTGCTCCATTTCCCCGAATTAAGCCTGAATGCCTTCCACATCCCTCCCCTCCCAGGCGCTGTATAATCCTATGGGTTTAGCTCTTCCCCTTGATTATAATAATAATGAATCCTTCCTGCTTCTGTGCAATCCTACTTTGTTTTACCTCTAACCCTTTCAGCAATTCCATCGTACACTTAGTAAGTTCATCTCTGTCGTACATTTATCTTGTCCCCTTTTCCATTATACAAGATAATTAATGGGGGTTCATTGATGGTGGTGTGGGGCTCCTGATGTAAGGAGTTGGACCTGTATTCTCTATTCGGAGATCGAACCTGAATGCCTCGCAGGTCCTTAGGAGCTGCATAACCCCTATGAGTTTAACACTCCCCTCCCCCATCCACCACACGAGTGTAGTAACATATACCCACCTGTTTTTAAAATCTTAAACCCATCTATCTCGGCTGCTTTACCCCATTTTCTTCTACTCACTGCCTCGTGCACTTTCCCCCGACATCCACGTCAGGCTTCTATACGATGGAGAGAAATGGGATAAAATACCGACATAAAAAGGCATTTTTTTTTCAGGCCACTTGTAAAAGAATGTGTGGGTGAATGTCAATAAAAGATCTCATTACAATGTGTTTATCCCTTCCTGCCTAGTGCATAGAATCGCCCTCCTCTGAGCGCTGTATGACCCTAATGGGTTTAGTGCTTTTTTTTTTATAATAATGCTGCCTCTCCTTTAACATTCATTATTTCCGTCTTTCCAGTACCTTCACTTTCCCATCTAACATCTTTCCTCTTATTTTAAACTGAGAAATTTGCTCTCTAGGCTTCCTAACCTTATTGTTCTCTCAGGTATAGTGCTTCTATATGATTAAAATAATAATGTAATTATGCACCAGTATACAAATAAAAGTAGCATAAAATATTTAAGTTATCTAATAAGTTAATTCGTTTTCTGTGAAAGTATTGTTACAGAAAACGTAAAAGAGGTAACTTTGCAAGAAGCCGGAAAGCGTATATTGTCACCCCGGGGACATCATTATTAATAATAATTAATAATAATTTATTATTCTTTTTTGGGTCACCCTGCCTCGGTGGGAGACGGCCGACTTGTTGAAAAAAAAAAAGTACATGTACAAGTTATACAGGCCTAGCTGATATCAATGACGTACTATATACAAAGCCGCTTGTTATGCAGAGCATTTCGGGCAAATTAGGTCAGTTTTGTCCCAGGATGCGATCCACACCAGTCGGCTAACACCCTGGTACCCATTTTGCTGATGGGTGAACATAGACAACCGGTGTAAAGAAACACGCCCAATGTTTTTACCCTCGCTGGGGATCTAACCCAGACAGTGTGAAGAGAGCTTTAGCCACCAGGGCACATGCTTACCTCTGTGTTGCAGGAGTCGATTCTTAGCTCCTGGTCTTGCCTCAACTTTCCGCTTCCCAAATTCACCTGCCCCTCGACTCGTGCGTCCTATCATACCTGCTCTTAAAATTGTGTTGAGTGTTTCTAGCGCTTCATCCAGATCATTCCACTTCTTGACCACCCTGAGGCTGAGGGCCAAGAGTAATTAGTGACAAGTTAAGAAAAATCACAAAAAAATTCAGCAACTTTTAATTCACTAGGGGCAATCTTAAATCGACTGACAAATATGACTGTAAAGTAGGCCTGTTAGTCTTCTTGCCTTATGAACCACACAGGTTTATCGAATGTTTTGTAATTATAAATTACATGTATTACATTAATAAGGAAGCATTAAACTCGTAGGGAGAATTGGGGATAACTGAGTTTGATTCAAAGAGGGAGAAATCAAATCCATTTTCTTACATCAAGAGCCCCTCATCGGCATCAATGAAAGGAATACTACTACTACTATAGTAGGTTTATTGAGGGTCAGGTCCGCATATGTACAATTATCACACATAGTAACATATGTGAAAATTACCCAGGATAACCCCCAGAAAGTCAGTGACTTATTTCCATTGGGGTCGTTGTATGGTACCTGACTGCCATACATTGTGGGTCTTTGTAAGGTACCTGACTCCCATACATTGTGGGTCGTTGTAAGGTACCTGACTGCCTTACATTGTGGGTCCTCGTAAGGTACCTGACTCCCATACATTGTGGGTCGTTGTAAGGTACCTGACTCCCTTACATTGTGGGTCGTTGTAAGGTACCTGACTGCCTTACATTAAGTAAGTAAGTTTATTCAGGTATACACAAATACAGTTACATAGAATTATCATACATAGCAGCATATGTGTAGAGAACCTAGGATAACCCAAAAAAGTCAGACAGAGTGACTTATTTCCATTGTGGGTCCCCTCAAGGAAGGCTCCTTGACGCTGGTGAGGGGCTCTTGATCTAGGGAATTGGATCTGTGCTCCAGTTCCCTGAATTAAGCCTGAATGCCTTCCATCCCCCATAGGCGCTGTATAATCCTACGGGTTTAGTGCTTCCCCCTTGATTATAATAATAATAATAATCCATTGTGGGTCCTTGTGAATGTCTAGCAATTATTCAATGTCATTTAGGTTATTCTTGTTCCTTGTGATACTCGGATGTGCCAAGAAATAAATAAATGAAAACAGACTACAAATTACACAAAATATGGTACACTAAGAGAAAACACCATAAGTGTCCGGGGCCCAAAACTGTTCAAGAGCCTCCCATCAAGCATTAGGGGAATTGCCAATAAACCCCTGGCTGCCTTCAAGAGAGAGCTGGACAGATACCTAAAGTCGGTGCCGGATCAGCCGGGCTGTGGCTCGTACGTCGGACTGCGTGCGGCCAGCAGTAACAGCCTAGTTGATCAGGCCCTGATCCATCGGGAGGCCTGGTCGTGGACCGGGCCGCGGGGGCGTTGATCCCCGGAATAACCTCCAGGATATTTGCGCTGATCCTGGATCAAACTGCACGTAGGACACCATCAATTACAACACCTGGATATAAATAATAATAATAATAATAAATAATAATAATCTTTATTTCTACAAATACACGATACAACTTATACAGAACATAACTGACATCAGTGCCATACTATATAGAAAGCCCTTTGTTATGCAGAGCATTTCGGGCAAATTGGGTTAATTTTATCCCCAAGAGATGACCCAAACCAGTCGACTAACACTCAGGTGCCTATTTTACTGATAAGCAAACATGGACAGCAGGTGTCTTAAGGAAACACGTCCTAATATTTACACCCGTACCGGGGGATCGAACCATGAACCTCAGTGTATGGGCTGAGTGCTCTAGCGGTCGAGCTACGGAACCCTGGCCCCTCAAGGAAGGTTCCTTGATGTTGGTGAGGGGCTCTTGATTTAGGGAATTGGATCTGTGCTCCAGTTCCCCAAATTAAGCCTGAATGCCTTCCACATCCCCCCCAGGTGCTGTGTAATCCTCCGAGTTTAGCGCTTCCCCTTGATTATAATAATAATAATAA